TAGACTGGTGCGTCCTTAGCATCTTCGCCTCCATCTCCCCCACCATCTCAGGGGGTGAGGCCGGGGAGGCCCAACAGCACTTGCCGGGGCAAGTCACACACCACTTGGGCCGTCCGACGCGGGGGAACCCGAGACAGCTTCCCTGCACTCCCGGTACTGGCAGGGGAGGGAAGGAGGGCCGAGGCCGCCGAGGCCGACGTCGGGCGCTCCTCGCCGCCTCCCCCCGTCCCGTTCTCCCCGATCACCAGGGTCCGATAAATCTCGCAGGCCAGGGCGACCAGATCGTTCTGCATGCCCAGCACCCACGCTTGCTCCGCCAACACCGCCGTCACCAGTTCCCGAAAAAGCTCCCGGCCGAAAGCAGAGTGCAGCTTGGCTTCCTTTCCCCCGACCTCCATCATGCGTTGGCCTACGTGGACGGCCCGCCGGCACGAGTGCTGGTCTTGCCAGCACAGGGCCCCCATCACGGAGAGGAAAAGGGGTACTGCACACACGTCCGATTCCACCACCAAGAACCGGGTCAAGGCCTGCACAAAGTCCTTCACGGCCGTGCACGGCGGGGACACCGCCCGTCTTCCCCCGGGGCCCACGTTCCCTATGCTGCCTTCCCCTCCCCCGCTTCCTCCTCCTCCTCCTGGCCCTGCCAAGAGAGAAGAGGACGAGGACGAGGACGAGGAGGGAAAAGGCACATCCTGCCCCCCGTCAGCGCCTGACCCTAGCGCCCCCCCCCCCCCGCCCTATTTTTCATGTACATACTTCCCTCCGCCCCCCCTTCCCCTCCCTCCCCTCCGCCCCCATTCGTCTTCCCCGCCCACGCATGGGCTGCCTTGGCGGTTTGCTGCTGATGGTGCACCGCCTTGTTGCTCTCGACCAAAGCCTGGATCATCCCCCCCCGCAAGGCCAGTGCGGCCTGGAGGGCCTCCACGTAGGCCCGGGTCACCTCCCGCCGCAGCTTGTCCAAAATCGTCTCGTAATCCTCCACGCTCACCGCGTCCTCCGCCAAGACCAGCGTCCCGCCCTCCCGTAGGTGCTCCAACTCCCCGCCCCCCGCCCCTCCCCACGTCACGGAGCACCGGACCAGCATGTGGCTAAAAAATGGGCCGACGATGGGAGGCAGGTGCGTGGCGAACAAGGGACCAGGGCAATGCACGATGTAGGGTTCTAGAAAGTTCTTGATGAGCCAGGGCACGTGCCGGTGCTCCATCCAGACCAAGGGCCCCAGCACCGTTTCCCGCATGGCCAAGAGGGTCTCCGGGTGGTAGTAGATCACCTTGTGGTGGCAGGCCTTCTCCAAGAGCTGGTAGGCGGACTGTCGGACCTGATTCAGCCAGGTCGGCCATTTTCGGCACTGGTTGCCCCCTGGGGCCACGTTTTGTTGGGGCGGTCGGGTACCCCCCGCCTTGACCCGGGCCAAGACCTCGTCGTCGTTCAAGGAGAGGAGATGCCGCAAGTCCGGATGCGCCAGCAGGCCCCGACGGACGTCCGGCGCCCACATCCCGTGCAAGACGCGGAGGAGGGCCAGCAAATTGGGGAGGATCCGGACCCAGACCGGGACGAAGGGGTTGATCTGCGCCAGTTCCTCCAGAGAGAGGGGGTCGCAGATCAAGACACGGGCAATTTCAGCCAACGCCGGATCTTTGCTGCTGATGTCGTCCTGCTGCGGGACTTTCAACCGCCGGGTCACCCCCAAGAACGTGTTGAGCACGCCGAGCAAGGCATGCGTCTGGTCGTAGGCCTTGTCCCAGTCCGCCGAGCTCTTCGGGATCTCGCTTTCCCCCTGCGCCCCCGGACGGACGCCAAACAGCTCCAGGAAGGCTGGGACGGAGGACAGGGACATGCTGGTCGTCGGGCTCTCCCAGTAGGCCTCGGAATCCGACACCAGCTCGGCAATAAAGGTCATCCGTTGCTGGCTGTCCCCCAAGGCGTTGGCCACGACTACCAGCATCTCGACCACCATCGGCCGCTGCGCATCGCTGACTTCCCCCTTCAGCAACAGGGCCCGACACCGGGTGCAGAGCTCCCCTAGGTAGGGAACCACGATGTCCGGCACTGTATTGCATATCTCTGTCAAGGTATTGGAACCCCGCCGGCGGACTTGGATAGCTTCGGGCGAGAGATGCTTCATCAGCTGGGTGGGGCTGCTGAAGGTCTTCCCCACCAACGCCGGATCCCGATACTCCATGTGCTGAAAGAGCAGCTCCAGTACCGCCCACAGCTGTTGGTCCAGGTAACGGTAAAACCGTTTGAATCCTTCCAAGAGCAGGCATTGGCAGTAGAGAAGCAATGGGTCAGTGACTTGCCAGCCCAAAAGCATCGACAACAACCAGCTCACGCTTTGGAGCAGGGCCACGTCCTCTTCTTTGCCTTGCTGGGGCTCTGGGATGCCCCCCAAGATCCGGTCCAACGGGTTCGCGAGACCCTCAAACTGCCGGTAAGCCTCGCTCTGCACCGTGATCCCGCCACCCGCCGCCCCCCCCCGCCCCCCCCACCCCGCCCGTGGATCCCACGCCGGCGGTTCCCACGCCCGTGCCGGCGCCCGCGGAAACCCCTGCTACGGCTTCCGGGGTGCCAAAACGCTGAAGCAACGACGACAGACGCTCTTTCAAAAACACGACGGCTTGGGACGGGTATAGCTCTGCGACAGTGCGAACGAGCGTCATGGCGTTGGCCTTGAGGGTTGAAAGCAGGGCCAGGTACTCCTCCTGGTCGATAAATTCCTGCAAGGAGAAAAAGAGGTGTGGCCAAGCGGAGCCCGTCAGTCCAGCGCCTCCGCGATCCCAGCCCCTGACCCCCTCCCTCCCTCCCTCCCTCCCTTCCTCCCGCCCTCACCTCATCCGCTACGGGGTTCTCGGGAAAGGCACCCGCCGCCTCGTCGTAGCAGAGCTTCACGGACTTCTCGCAATAGGCCGTCATCACCAACGGTAGCCAAGGTTCGACCAGGCCCAGCCCCTTCAATTTCTCCTGCTTGACTGCCACCGCCCACCCACCCATCAGGGCCACACTGGCCCGGTACGAGGGCAGCCGCAAAAGCTCCGCCATGACCTCCAGGCACCGGGCCAGGAGTCGAAACTCCCCCGTCCCTACAGTCGTGACCGCCGTGTCCTCCCCCACCCATTTCTCCAGGTTGGCGTTGACAAAGAGGGACCAGGTATGACAGAGGGTCTCCCCGAAGACCAGGCATTGCCAGGCCTCCGACTGTGGTATCAAGGCCCGGGTCGCCCCTTCCAATTTCTCCGCGTACGCCTTGACGTGCTCCATGTTCTCGAACCTTCGACCGCCCAGGTCCCGGACACATTCCAAGGCCTCCAGGCGCGTGGCCGGTTCGGCCATCAAGCAGGCGAACACGTCCAAGAAATTCATCGAGGGCTGAAGCATCAACAAATCGGGCGGAGTCCAGACCACAAACCGCTTCAAAGTCTGCAGCGCTGCTCTCAGAACCTCCGTCGCCCCCCCCCCCTCCCCGCCGTTCCCCCCCATCTGCTGCGTCCTTCCTTCGTAGGTCCGTGCCATGAGCGAGTACAGGCGGGGCAGCAACACCCCCAACTCCAAGTTCAAGGCGCGCAAGATCTCCGTCCGGCGTGCGGTCGGCAGCAAATTGTTGAAGTCGGAATCCACGCAATCTTCTGCCAAATTCTTCAGCGCCATCAAGGCAATGATTGGCGGAGCCGGGGAGCCCGCTCCCGCCCCCTCCCAGATATCCGCCAGCTCCCTTAAGAGCTCTGGCCAACGCACAGGGTACTCCTCCTCGCCGATTTTGCTCACCAGCAAGGCAATGCGTTCGCGCAAATACACCTCCTCGTTTCGTCCCGCCCCTGTGGAAGCCACCACCTCCATCACCGCCACCCGAAACTGGAGTCGAACCTCCTCATTCCACGCTTTCCACCGAGACTGCAAGAGACTGGCCAGGCATTGCAATGCAAAGTGACGGGCTTCGCCGGGAGAGTCTGGTGTCCGAAGCGTGTTGAAAGCCCAGTCCCCGCTGTTGTCGCTGTGCTTGAATTCCTCCAGGTACTGAACAGGAGGGAGGAAGCATGGCAAAGGACCAGGAAAAGGACATGGCAGAGCGAGCATTATAAATAGGAGAAAGCAATGACACCACGCGACAGAGAGCAAAATGGAATGCTCGTACTGCGACAATGTGATGGTAAGGGCCGACGTGGACTTTAATGTAGACCCAAGCGGCCAAGCAGGAGACATACAACCCGCAGGAGAACAGAGAGGACCATCACGACACCATCACGACAGGTTCTGAACAGACAACAAATGGCACGGCTTATGCGGGACAAAATGACACATAAGCACGAGAAAGGGGCAAGAAGGGGGTGGAAAGACTCACCCGCAAGGCATAAGCCCGCACGGCCTCGTCTGCGTTGGGGGAATGGGCTGTGCGCAGTGCCTCTGTCAAGGCGTCCATGCTTCCGCCGCGCTTCCCCCTGACGTGCTCGTCGACCTCCTACAATTGTGACGTCCTTCCCCGTGCGAATTTTTTCTGTTGGGATACCTTCACTACCGGCAGGTTGGAAAGACGACGATGTGGAAAAGTAGCCACGGTCTCCTGTTGTGCGCCTGTGACCGCCACCTCCCGGGCCGCCGGCACCCCAAAAAAACTTACGACGCCATTGTACAGCAACAATGGCAGCAAATGGAAGAAATAAAAGGGCGACCCTGCTGTTAACGACGGGGAAATCAGATGACATGGTAACACGATTGAGTTGAGGTCTCCTAGGGGAGAGGAATACGGAAGTTTGATGGTAGCCAGCGACCGCCGTGTCAGGTAAGTTTGAGGTTCTTGCACCTTCGCACGACACCTGAATGACACACTTCCGTGGCATCCCTCTTGATACAAGGGCCACGAGAAGCTTTGATGATGCAGGACAGCGTACAATGCGTTAAGTACTTGGAAGGGAGAGGAAAGTGGAGCGTAGGAAGCCGACACGTTGAGAGCGTTCCGAGCCGCACGACCCGGAGGGAAGGAAAAAAATGCAAGAAGAACTTAAACTTCCGCCATTGAGAGTTCCAATTTCATTCAGTACTCTTGTCACTGCACAGTACTTTATAGCCGTGTTCCAATATGTACATTGTTGTGGGAGGAGGGAAACTTACGCGTTCCTCCTTGACTCTAGCAACTTACTCCACCCCTTCATCGAATTTATCCGCCTCCGCCTCTTCTTCCTCCTCATCATCATCGACGTACAAATGTGCCTTGGCCAGGCGATTCGTGTTTACATGGAGATCGCTGTAATCCTCCTCATCGCTCTCGTACTGACTTCCAGTGCTATCTCCGTCCTCTACCTGGAATGCAGATACGTTGCCATCACCCTCCCGACCGACTCTCTCCCTAGTTGGGTTACCATTTTGACACTTTTCCTGTCCTCCCCCTTCCGGCTCTACTCTCTGATTTGCACCGTGCTCCAGTTCACTCCTTCCCTCACCCTTGTGAGCCGGTCCTTGCTCTGCAGGTTCCGAGAAAACGACCGGCCACATCCCTTGGTCTTTTAGGTGCTTCACTTGCTCTTTGTACAAAATGTGTTCGACCATGAATTTCACCTTCCCTTTCTCGCCGGCCGCCGTCTGAAAATCGTGGGACGTGCCAGAGACAATCACGAAGTCTCCCCGCTTGACCCAAATCAGCTTCCGAAATTTCGTAGGAAGCAAGGCCAGAGACCCGCTGTTCTCGTCCTCACCGCTTTGTGGATCAGGTGCGACGTTTACCTGTTATCAGAGCATGGAAAGGAGGAATAATTATCGGCCAGGAAGGGCTCAGTGAGGCCATAGGCGTCGACCCATTGCACTCTCCCTTCGTAAAACTTCCTCTCGACCATTCCCTGCACGAGCGCGGGACAAATTTCCCACTCCGGTTGATAGCACGGCTTATCCTCGGTCAGTGCTATGTGTGCGTAGACAAACCTGCAAAATATTACCCCCACGGGACTGGACAACACGGGCCACTCGCTCGCCGGCGGCCACATTGGGCTCAGGAAATGAGTGGAGGACTTCCTCCGTTACGCTTTTGCGGTAGGCACTTTTACGGCCAGCACCAGACATGGGCCTGTAATGTGATCAACCCTCCTGTAAAGTGTGAATTTGGGTCTTACGTGAAAGAATGAACATGTCAAATGAGAGAAAAACGCGAGAAGGCAAGCACATCAATGAGCAACGGGTTTAGACGTGGAGGACACGTCGATGCGAACGCGCAAAAGTGTAAGACGCAAAGCACTTCACTGTTCTATCCGTCGACATTGAAACCAACTGAAGAAACGTGCATGTGGCAAACATTGTGCGTACGGATGGCAATCTTGGGTGCCCAATGGCTCTGGGTATGTCAACTTTCGTCTTCGCTTGATGCTCGCCCTCCGCTCTAGTTGCGTGCTTCTTCAGCTTCAGTCCCCACTCCCACGCCCGCATATCTCCTCAACCAGGCATTTTCCAGTTCACAAATGTGGAACTACTCAGTCATTTTCTATGTGACACTGTGTGTCGTCATGTTCGTAAAGTTCGACCTCCACCCTGCCACTGCCGGATAGAAAGACGGAAACCAAGGAGACTAAGTCTCGTTGAACACCACACTTGCACCGGGCAACATTCCTCCTTTGACCGTACACCTTATCCTCGCAGGGTCCCTTAAAACCAATAGAGCCTAGGGTGGAAGCGGCCTCCTAGAAATCCAGTCTCGCATGCTGGGAAGCTCTGTCGGCGCGCGGAGACTGCTCCAAGTCCGGCCATCCCCTGCCATTACACCCGGGTGGTCATCCGCGTCTGCGTCTATATTACATCGACCGAAGCTTACTTTGGCTTCGAACCTGTCTCAGCTTCTATACCCTGCCAGTTTCTGCACGTCGCCATCAATTTTGCGTCAGAAACAGGCCTGGGTAGCTTTTGCCCCCGACCTCGGGCCTCTGCCCCGTGCACGGAGACGGCGTGCGCCACCGACACCCATCATGGAACGTTACTGCCGCCCGTTCTCATCATCATCCTCTCCATCCGCCTCCTGCTCCTCCTCCGTTAGCTCCATACCGGAGGGAAGTGCCGGCGCGCCTTCCCCTCCACCGTCCCCGGGGGGTCCCACTGCCAAGCAGCCTTCGTCCCGCACCAGTCACCCGGGCCACACCTCCCACGCCCACAGCCGCCGCGTTGGCAACAATCGTACACTCAATGCTGCACATTGCTGGGAAAAGGATGTTACCTCCACCAGCACCGCTGCCGCCTTCTCTTCCTCCCCGCTCCCCGCGGACCCCCCTGCCGCACCCCCTGCTCACCCGCCCTCCCAAGCTGACGACAACGTCCCCCCTCACAGATTCCGGCTCGACCCAAGCTTTGTCCAGCAATGGGAAGACGAGGATCCTCCTTTCGGGTTCAACGGTCTGGGCGAATTGGTGTACCGCCGGACCTATTCCCGGATGAAGGCGGACGGGGAGCATCGGGAGAGATGGTTTGAAACGGTGGGAAGGGTCGTGAACGGGACCTTTAGCATGCAAAAAGAATGGCTGTTGCGGCAAAGCTTGGAGTGGGACGAAGAGCGCGCCCAAGGACTTGCCCAAGAAATGTACCGGCGCATCTTCGAGATGAAATTTTTGCCTCCCGGCCGGGGCCTGTGGGCGATGGGCACGACCCTGACGGAGGACCGCCGCTTGTACGCCGCGTTGAACAACTGCGGCTTTGTCTCCACCCAAGACATGGCCAACGATCCTTCCGCGCCTTTCGCCTTCCTGATGGACGCCTCGATGCTGGGCGTGGGTGTAGGATTCGACACTTTGGGGGCGGGCCGGGTCACGGTTTGGGGCCCCAACCGGCGTCCAGAGGCCCGCAAGACCTTCGTCATCCCCGATTCCCGGGAAGGCTGGGTGGAGAGTGTCAAGTACTTAATCGACGCCTATTTTTTGAACCTGCCGTTGCCGGCCTTCGATTATTCCTCGATCCGCCCGGCGGGGTCGCCCATCAAGGGGTTCGGGGGCGTGAGCCAGGGCGGGGAGATCCTGGAGGCCTTGCACGGGGACATCCAGGGGGTCCTGGACCCGATCGTGGGGGAGCCGGTGAGCGTCACGGCCATTGTCGACATGATGAACCTGATTGGGAAATGCGTGGTGGCGGGGAATGTCCGGCGCACGGCGGAGATTGCCTTCGGGGCCCCGGAGGACGAGGAGTATGTGGACCTGAAGAACTACGAGAAGAACCCCCACCGAGCGGCGTACGGGTGGACGAGTAACAACAGCGTCTTTGCGAGCGTGGGCATGGACTACGAAAACGTGTGCGAACGCGTGCAACGGAACGGGGAGCCTGGCTTTGCTTGGTTGGAGAACATGCGGGCCTATGGGCGGATGGGGAGTCCTCCGGACTGGAGGGATGCTCGGGCGATGGGGGGCAACCCCTGCTTGGAACAGACGCTAGGTAGGCCAAGGCATTTGTGCGCAGAGAGGAGGACTGCAGTCATGCAATGGGACGAGCTTTGTGGCCTGCGCTTTCTTGTTCCTCTTTTTCATTCCCTCCCTCCCTCCCTCCCTCCCCCTCGCAGAATCCTTCGAGCTCTGCTGCCTGGTGGAAACCTTCCCGGACAAGCACGACAGCCTGGAGGACTTCCTGGCCACTTTGCAGTTCGCCTTCCTGTACGCAAAGACCGTTACCCTGGGCCCCACCCACTGGGCCAAGACCAACGCCGTCATGCTCCGGAACCGGCGGATCGGCTGCTCCATGTCCGGCCTAGCCCAGTTCGTGACGAGGAAGGGGATGGGGGAGCTGCACCGGTGGTGTGAGGTGAGGAGAGGGGAGGGAGGGGGAGGTCGTCTCATTCGCCACGACTTGACTTTCACACTTATCCGAGGCCCGTGCCCCCTCCTCGCCCGTCCTCCCTCGCTCCCTCCCTCGCTTCCTCAGGAAGGATACCAGACCCTACAAGAGGCCGACCAGCGGTACAGTGAATGGCTCTCCATCCCCCGCTCCGTCAAAACCACGAGCATCAAGCCGTCGGGGACCGTTTCCCTCCTTGCCGGCGCCACGCCCGGCATGCACTTCCCCGAGTCCAGATTCTACCTTCGCCGCGTCCGGCTGGCCAAAAACAGCGAGCTCCTACCTCCCTTGCTGGAGGTGGGCTACGTGGTGGAGCCGGCGGCGGGCGACCCCGAGAGGACGTGCGTGGTGGAGATTCCGGTGGATGTAGGGGAGGGAGTTCGGACCCTGAAGGAGGTGGGGCTTTGGGAACAGGTCGCATTCGCGGCTTTTCTCCAACGGCATTGGGCGGACAACCAGGTGCGGAAGAAGGGAAGGGGGGGGGGCAGGGTGGGTGGGAGGGATGGGAGTGGCGAGACCCCTGCTATATATGTGTGTTGTGATGGACATGGTTTCTTCCCTCTTTCGCCCCTCCCCCCTCCCTCCCTCTCTCCCAATTTCGTGCGGCAGGTGAGCTGCACAGTCACCTTCGACCCCGCCACGGAAGGCAAAGACTTGGCCCGCGCCTTGGATGTCTTCCAATACCAGCTCAAAGGCATCAGTTTCCTGCCCAAAATGGAGGCGGGAGCTTACCCGCAAATGCCCTACGAAGAGATTAGCGAGGAGGAGTACCGGGAAAGGACCGAGAGGCTGCGCGGGCGGCGACCGGATTTCTGGCGGGGTGGCGCGGCGGTTGAGGACAAGAAGGAGGAGCTCTTGGACAAGTTCTGTGAGAGCTGTTCCACCAATGTGGAGGACCGGAACGAGGAGAAGTGAAGGAGGGGAGGGAGGGAGGAAGAGGGGCAGGGAGTGAGGGAAGGAAGGAAGGGGAGAAGGGAGGGAGAGAGGAAAAGGGATGTATATGGTCGGAGGACGTGAGTGGACAAGGAACGGAAGAGCAGAGACTAGCTTTTGGAGGTCAATGGGTGGTAGAGACTGTCCAAGCCGCGACAGAAGACACGCTCGCGCGTCTATCTATTGGGGGGATGGAGGAGAGAAGGGATGAAGGACAAGCGACAAGCATCCGGGATAGGAGGACAGGAGGCTAGGGGAGATTCGACTTACATCGAAAAACGGAAGCGGGACCTAGCTTGTCTTGAATCCAAAGTACTGTCCCTCCCTCCCGCCCGACCGCCAGTCCCCCGCCCTCTATCTGTGCATTTTCCGCTCGGCTTTCTTCTCAATACTAAACTTTAAGCATGGGGTGACTCTGAAAAAAAGAATGCATTTGCGACAGCAAAAACGGCCAACGTCGGATTCTGTGGGCGGATGGAAAATGCGAGTCGCCACGTACTTTGTCAGGGACTCTTCAGGGTCGCCTCGGCCATTCACAGGGCATCATCTATGCTCCTCATTTATGTTTTTGACTCCGCTTTGCACGATACTGTCTTTCAAAATGTTCGATCCAACATATTAGCTTACTGCCATGCCACACTGCCCCTCACCCTAATCCTAATACGAACCCTACATTCTTTTCCCCTCCATCATGCGTTCTCGTTCCTTCTGCCACAGCCTCGGCCTTGCTCCTTCCCACCCTCTAATACTCACCATCCTGGCTCTTTCTGACTCAATAGCAGTTCCTCGAAAGTAACGCAGGTCCTATGTTTCCCGTTGCCTGGTATTTTGTCGCTTTTCGCACATTTTAAGACATGGAAAGAAGGAAACAACGCTTTCGTTATCTACCCATCAAGGGATTTTGGGGAAATGATGATAAGTCTCTCCCTGTCTCACAAGCACTTTTCTCGGGGAAAGGGAAGGTCTTTGTAAGGAATAGCATGGGAGGGAGACCGCGGCAGAGACAAAGAGCAGAATGACTCAGACACAGCATGTGAAGCTGTCATCGGCGGATCATCATAAAATATTTTCCATGCCATGTCTCTGAGGAGTTCTCTGGCTATCCGTGGCCCGAGGCGACATAATTTCAAAAGAATGACGCGAACAGGGTGTTGGAGGGAGGTTCAACCACAGTGGCAAGGCTGTCATTTACTTAAACTTCTGCAACGAAGTCAGTAGAAATTGCGACACTTCAGATTAAATGATTACCGTCAAATAGGACGATAGGAAGGCAAATGGTACAGACACATCCTCTTCTCGTCCCCTGTCGCAGTCGTACCATGGTTGCATTTGACCTGAGCTCGCTGGATCGGCACGGTCATCGCCACCGTCGCCGCCGCGAACTTTAGCCTATATGCCAGAAGAGTGCCATGTTGACCGTCACTCCCATCGCGCCATCCCCGGTACCTTCATACGTGAACAGACAGGAGGAAGTAGAGGCCTACGGCCCGGGAGAAGTTTTCCACTTGTCGTCTGGATGCACCATCGTGGGGCGATACGCTGGCATTTCCTCATTTACTTCCTCCTCCTTCGGACGAGATCTTTTGTCGCGCTCTTATTCTTCTCTCTCACGAGCTTTTGGTCGGGTAGCGCGGTCATAGCCTTCCAGTCAGTGTCATCACGGTGGCCGTGTCTTTTTTTCGTTCGTCTGAATTCGTACCACGGCTATTCTTGGCAGCCCCGGATACCCGTAGTACCCCTCTCTCCCCTCTTCTCCTCATCTACCTCTTCTTCACCTCCGCCCGTCATGACCTTCAAGCCACCATCCCTCACCGAAATCGCTGTAACCCCCGATCTTTATGACGCCGTGCGCATTTATGCCATGTCGGACCTGCACGTGGACTATCGGAAGAATCTCGAGCTCTTTCAATATTGGTGTAGTCGTCCGGCCTCCGGAAATAGCTTATCATCCCTTGCTCTAGAGCAGGAAAAAAGCGATCGGATATATTCCATCCTTCTTATTCCAGGTAATGTAGATATGAATATATGAGAGACAAGGGAAGAATAAGATCGTAAGGATAGCGGGAGGAAGCGTGGGTGCTCAGACGGCCCAAAACTGGTTCCCCATTTCCCCCCCATCCTGCAGGCGACATCGCATCCAACCCAGCGAATTTCAAAGCCGTCTTGGCGGCCACTAGACGTCGATTTCATGCCACATTTATCGTCGCGGGCAACCACGACCTGTGGGTGAGCAACTCCTTGGCCGATCAGGGCGTGGTCACCTCCATCGACAAGCTCGCCTGGATCCACCAGGTCGCGGAGGGGAACGGGGACGAGCCAGAAGGGGAGGAGGATACAGGGGGTGTGGTGGAGGGGAAGGAGGAGGAGGGGGCATGGAGCGAGGAAGGGAAGGAGGGAGGCCCCGGGATGCCTGGAAGGAGGGGCGAGTCCGAGGGAGATGGCAGCGGGACACCTGAACCGTCGGCGAATCCTGGCGGTTCTCGTGCCGCCCACCTTCCCATTTCTCCGTCCTCGTCAACGTCCCGACGGGGCAAAGTCTTCACAGGGCCCGTGCGGTTTCATACCCCCCGGGGAGAACGCCTCCTGATCCTCCCCCTCCTCTCATGGTACCACGCGTCTTGGGACACTGAACCCGACCTCCCCGCCGAGGTCGTTGCCGATTTGTACGAAGGCCGACCCACCTTCGAGCAACGTTGGGCGGATTTCCGGTGTTGCAAGTGGCCGGAGGAGGTGCTTCAAGACCGGGAAGACTTCGTGTCCCTGCAGACGGAGAAGCAGGAATTGGCGGTCTGGTTCGCGCGTCAAAACGAGTTTTTTTTTGCCGATACGCGGGTGCGAGGGGAAGGTTCCCCGGCGGAGAAAACTACAGTGATCTCCTTCTCGCATTTTCTGCCGCGAGAGGAGCTCTGCCCCGAAAAACGCTTCCTCTTGGAGCCCATGTTGCCCAAGGTGATTGGATCGACCCCCCTGCGAAGACAGGTAGAGGCGTTGCGGCCAGATCTGCATGTGTTTGGGCACACCCACATCCCCATTGACTTGACGGTGCAAGGGATTCGATATTTACAATGGCCATTGGGGTCGGTGGGAGAACAAAGTCGGCAGACTTACGAAATGGGCCGCAGAGGGCCGGTGCTCGTGTTCGATGAGGAAAGGGGGGGCTTGGTCGGGACGATACCCACCCGGTGGGGCGCGCACTACCGAGAAGCGGCTCGGAACGTGCTGGAAACGGAGTTGGCGCCGTGGGTGAAGAAGTACTGGGAGCGAAAGTGAGGGGTGGTGGGAGGGGCGGGGTAGGACAGGGAGGGATGAAAGGAGGGTGGAAAGGGGGGGGACACTTAGGGATAAGGCTGCAGCGTGTCAGCGGGGCTAGGTGTGGAGGTTGAGGTGTATAGTGGGTGTATATTGGGCACATGGAAATGTAGTCAAGAGCAAAGAGTCCGAGGGTACATGTGTATGTGACTTTCCCGGCCCTAAAACATAGAGATTAGGCCATTGAAATCAACCTCTCGTGGAATTGCTAGCCATCCACGACCGTAACAAATATCCAAAAACTATATATATATTATTGCTCCGCATGTACCCGTCTGTTACTGCGCGATGACACGCACCCCTGCAACCCTCAATTATCCTGGCTTTGTTTTCCCAATTTTCCCATTTTGACCGAAAAGGACCGAGAGAGGCTTTGTTACTGCTAGATTGGGCCTTTACGTCCGTTTCAATTATCCCACGGCAAATAGTTGACGCCTCTGTACAAAAATCAACTCATCTCCAAGATTTCCCCACCTCCTCCGTCGCTGCCCTCCCAAAGTATCACTTACACTCATCACGCGCCCTCTTCAAGAAATTTGCACTTGGCAAAATAACATTGGCACTACCGCCGCACGCACACGACTTTCGTGCAAAGCTTAAGAGATTGACTGTGCAGCCCCCTACTTCCACCGCTCTTCCTTAGAGGAAATTTGGCCTCCACACCTCCTCCCACCTCGATTGCCACCGTGGAATTTTTTGAGAGCGTGTCGTGTATGAGACCATCTTGTCTTCATTGCAAACCCGTCCATAAAGGATACAAGATATTCCTATCAATGTCGGGTCGGGTCGCCGGCGCCAACGGTCAACGACGTCCCCGCTCGGTCCCATCGGCAAGGCCGTCTCCTCCTAGCACCTCCTCTCCTCTTTTCCCCGCGCTTTGCTCCATTTTCCCCTCTCAAATAAGGACTGTAATTCCCTTCTTTCGACGGGCGATCTCGGCTTCATAGCATCTCCTACCCTCCACATCCTCTCTGCACAAACCTCCGCCTCTGACCCCGCCCTTCCCCAGGTCTTTTCCCACCACTACACACGTGCCTGCGCCCGTTCCACACCTCACACACCCCCTCCCTCCCCGTCCTCCTCTTATCGATTGGTCACACCAAGTAGTTTGCTCCCGACGTCCCATCCGTCCTCCCACCGGCCCTTCAAGCGATTCCACCATATCATTCTCCCGCTTTCCCCTATTTCCTCGCTCCGTCGCGCCTATCGCACCTTGACCGTCATCGCCTGCCGCGCCAACACCAAATATCCCAAGAGCAACAAGCCTATGCCCAACCCCGCCAGCATTATCAAATTCTCCTCCAACGTATGCTGGTCTGCTGAGCATCGTCGCAACACCGAGGGCGTGGAGGGATACACGCAACGGGCCCCGCCCGGTAAACCTCCCCCGTCTGAGCCTTCCCCTGGGTGGGAGAGCGAGGGGGGGCAATGGATGTCTTGGCCGGCAAAGGCCTCCAAGACCAGGGCGTGCAGCGTGTACTTGACGATGGACAAATGCTGCAGCCAGGCCAAAAAAGGCGGCACTGTGTTCAGTTCCACCAAAAATCCGGCGAACAGGGCCATGGGCAGCGATATGGGAGGAACCAGTGCCAAGGCGACCGCCTCGTTCCGAGTGGAGATAGCCACCACGTAGCCCAACGCCGTAGAGGCAATGTTCGACAAGGTGACGGTCAAGAAGAAAACCGCGAGCTGCCGGAGCGTCAGGCCGTTCAGGGCCAAAGGGAAGGTGACCAGGCAGAAGGCCAAGGTCCAGACCAGGAGGAAGGCGAAAGACTGAACGACATGGGCCACGTAGTAGGTGCTGACCCGGTTCACGCCCGCCAGCCGCTCCCGGAAAAAGACTTGGAGCTCCCCCGGGAGGGTGAAAGCGACTTGGAAGAAATTCGTAATGAGCAAGAAGATGGCCGACGTGAGCATCAAACCCAGCGTGTCCGTGATCCCGCCCTGCGCAAATTCCCGGCCCTTGGGCCCCCGAAACGCGAGGCCAATCACCAAGCCCGTTCCCACCCCCACGAAGCACCGGGCCAGGGACATTTTCTTGTCCCGTTGCAGGGCCTGGAGCTGCCGGACCAGAGAGTACCCAAACTGGGTCGTCCACGACGCGTTGTACTCGCGGGCAAACACCTTCTCGTGCCCCCGGCCCCCTCGACCATCCCCCCGCTTCGGCGGCGGGTGGGGACCCTCCAGTGACTCCGCCGCGTCCCGTTCCAGGACCGTCAAGGACTGCAAGGACGGGTGGCCTGCCGTCATGGCCATGATCGGATCCATCCTCCCTTCCTCCACCGAGTCCTCCTCTCCCACCCCCCCCGGGCCTAGGTGCTGGTATTTATGACTCCGATTCCCTCCCCCGGCATGCGTGGGCGTGGCTTCCGGGGGTACCAGATGGAAATTCGCCTTGAACTTCCAGGCCTGGTTTTGATGCGCCAGCTCCGACTCTGTGTACGCTGTGCACAACTTGACCACCCGGGCGGCGACCTCCTCGGCTCCCTCTCCCGGCGGCACCGCGACGCACCGGACGGCAAAATCCGCCATGTTGTGGTACGGAGGACATTGGAGGCCGACGCTGGCCAGATAGGCGAGCAGATTAGCCGTGGGCCCGTAGTAGGCAATGTGGCCATGGCCCGCCAGGAGCATCAGGTGGGTAAAAGTGGAGAAGGTCTGGGAGGACGGTTGGTGTATGGAGGCCACCACCAGGCGCCCGCTGTCCGCCATGCCCCTCAGCACCCGGCAGACGCTCTTGGCCATGGAGGCGTCCAGGCCCGTGGTTGCCTCGTCGGCGATCACGATGGACGGGTTCGAAAGCATCTCCGTGGCAAACGACAAACGTCGGCGTTCCCCCCCCGACAGGCCACGCACGGCGCTCCGGCCGCCCCCAATGTACGTGTGGGACACATGGCTAAGATTCAGCTCGATCAACACCTCTTGGATCCGGGCCATCTTGGCCGAGGTGCGTACCTGCGCCCCCAGCCGCACCATTGCGTGGAACTCTAAGTGCTCGCGCACAGTCTGGGTGGGATAAAAGAGGTCGTGCTGGTCCACAAAGCCCACCATCGACAGGTACTGCTTCCTGGCCGGGGCCTCGTTCAAATAGATTTGTCCGCGGAACGTTTGGTCGCGCAGAGCCAGACAACTCAGAAAGGTGGACTTCCCACAGCCGGACGGGCCCATGACCGCCAGCAAGTCTCCTGCCTCCGCCTGCCCGACAATGGAGTGGAGAATCACTTTTTTCTTCCGCTTTTTTCCCGACCGGCTCGGGCATGGGAGCCATCGGCCCCCTGGCTGGCCTTTGGTCTCGGCAATGGAGTAGGTGACGTCCCAGGCCAAGGAAGTGACGAGGCAATGGTCGCGTCCGATCGCTTCTTCTTCCTCCCGTGTCCGCGAGGCCGCCGAGGTGGAGGCGGTGGATTCCACGCTGATCCCTTCCGAGCCGTCCGAGCATTTACCAGGGCTGGCGCTTTTGTGGCGGTGGTGATGATGAGAAGTGGATGGCTCCACTGGAAGGATGTGTCCTGGCGGGGGGGTACAGTCGGCGGAGGGCGAGGAGGAGCGGGGCTCAGACACGACGAGTAATGGCGGGGACGGCCGATCCTCCTCGTCTGTGGCATTCGGGGCCATGCGCTGGATAGTATGACTGTCGAAAGACGCTTTCAAGTCGTGATTGGGCAACGGGCAGGTCGTGGTGAACTTGACAGGCAAGGTAGGGGGGTTTGACAAGGCAGAGACGCGCTAGGATACAATATCCCAAGAACAACGAGTCTCACGCTCGCCTTTGGCCCCTACCGCAGCACCCTGCCAAATGATTGTGATTCTTGCCTATGAAAATTTCGGTCGCACGAGTGCGGAGGGGAAGAAAGGCGGTAATTTAGAAGGATGATACGGACCCAAACCTCTCTCAGACTTTCCTTCCAAAGCCGATCCTGTGACCCGGTCGACACTTGCATTACAACCAAATACCATTGTACACGCGCCGTGGCATAGATATGTCAGCGTTCATATCTGCATGCGCACACTGTGACAACGTTGGTGCTCAATGCGCAGGGTCAGGTTGAGTTCCCTTGTTTGTACACCATCACGTGCTGCTCCGACCATCACGGACCGGGCAGAGCAGAGAGGCCATCAGCACGTGAATATATGCAATCCTTTTCCTACAATGCACGCACGTGCCCAAACCACACCTGCCACTGGCACATTCCCGCGCGCATGCTAGCTGGACTGGGTGGCAACCAGGCCATGTATGGGGAAGAACATGGGAGAGCTCTGGACATAAAAAAAAGCCTGGATCTCGGTCTCGAGAGAGCCTGGGGTTTATTTCCCCTTCCGCGCTCTTCTTCCTCCCTCCGTCACGTCAAAATTAAAAAGCCTGTGCACGCGCTGGCAGCCAAGCAAGGCTATTAACATAGACTTCCTCACGTCTTCACGACATCGCGAGGCGGCACGTGCGGCAGGCATGGCGAGGCGGCGGGGTCTGTCCCAGAGAGTTGGACGGGGTAATTACCTTGCGGCGACGTGGAGGGGATCGAGCTTTGAAGTATCTCCGGCCAGCCACAGGAGGGGGGGGGTCGCGCTCTAAAACCATGTCTGCTTTACTGACGCGCGGAAAAAAATATGCGATATGTATACAAGAGAAGATACGCGTAAGCGTTAAATGTGCCCAAACTCCAATGTGGAGCTCATTCTCACAAAAGTGGACAAATTATGTGTTCTTTTTTCTTTTTTTTGTTCTTTTCCTGCCCGGGGGGGGAATGCCGGTGTCTGGTACCGTCAAGACACTCAATGAGAGTTGTTATGTACATATTTTTATGACATGCAATGACTTCGATCAGTCCATTTGCATTTCTGATTCCTCGTCCTCTTCGTCCTCGTCTCCCTCTCCCTCCATTTCCCCGCCCTCTTCCTTGCACTTGGCCACGGCAGCCGCCTGCTCAGCCAAAAACCTCTCCTTTTCCTCGTCTGTCCGCATGTCGTACTCCAAGCCGTTCTTAAGATCCCTCACGGCATTGAGGACAAAAGACAACTGCCGTTTCCTCATGGCCACTGCCTTGCCAAGCCTACCTTTCTCTTCCTCCAAAGCTGCTATCTCTGCCGCCACTTTGGTCTGTCCCACCGTCGTCTGTGCTTTGGCTGGATATTTGTTCACCAGCTTTGCCAGCGCCTCGTATTCTTCGCGCTGCAGACGAATGGCACGTTCCACGACCAATCTCTCCTTGAGAGCGACAATCTCTGCCTCAACGCGAGCTGTCTGTTGGGCTATCGTGTCGGAATAGACTTCGAATTCCTCCCGCTCCCGGGGCAGGGTGGCGAACACCGCTTCCGCTTTATCAATCTGGATCCAACAGAAAATGATGACAGGGGTGTTAAGATTCGAGCGTACACAATTAATTGGGGAAAGAGGGATGGGATTGTCAGTGATGGACGCGTTAGCAGCGTCGCTTGGAGGGGACCTGTGACGAGGTTGGCGCTTCACTCCGCATATATCGTCGTTTGGAGCGCATCAATTTTTAAAACACAACCTCTAAGACTGACTGAGCCTTACCTCAAGCCGCATCAATGTCAGCTCCTTGACCAAGGCGTCGTACTGCTCAAGCGCAGTCTCTCTCTCCCCACATCCCAGACCAACCGGGGTCTTCGCGTCGGATGCGCCGAGGGCGCTCACGGCCGCGTTGACAAAAGCATTAAATCGTACCACGAGACGACTGACAGCAGTGTGGCCCGTGATTGTCGTCTCTTTGTACGTCAATCGGTCCTCAAATATCTTCCTGTCAATCATGGCCTGATGCGGGCCGTGTGAGCGAAACCGACGCGTAAGAAGTGGAAGCCCAGAATAAGGAGAGCGTACACGTCAGCAGCAACGAGAAGACGTGCTGATCACGAGATGTGTATGCCACCGTAGCAACTACACCACAAAAGGCTAAAACCAGGGGAAAGGGAAGGGAGGAGGCTATCAAAAGCTCTTGGCGTCAGCAGCTTCCTCTCCTGCCGCCGAAGGTGCAAGAAAATCCCACAATGCCGTCCATCATACACGCGATAAGCTTGAATCTCGAATGTACCCATCCTTTGGGGCATTCCGGGATGCAAGGGAAGCACAGCGTGGGCATGATAGTCTCTGCAGTGACCAGACACCCCCGCATCGCTCGAGATGACGATACCGTTAGCGACGGGCCAAAAGGCTTCCCACGCCCTTACGCTTACCAAACGCACGGCCAGTTGCAGGCATTTGGAAGCTTTGGGCGGCGTCGCATGAATCAAAGACATGTCTTCTATGGCCTGACACATTTCTCTGACAGCGGAATACAAAGATCGCTTCGGTTGACAGCTTTCTTTCATCAGTTTGTCTTTCCCAATCCCTCCCCCGAACCCCTTTAAAATAGCAACCATGCAGGGCAATGCTGAGGCCTTGGCTATGGTGCCTGGGGTACTTCTTAAGACACTTTCAGCAGATAAGACACAGGTAGGACCTTAAAGCAATAGTGTTTCCCGTCCCCTTGTACCGCTTCCTGTCCGATACCCCTAGTGGGGGGCTATGGAACAATACTCTCTCGTCATTAATGCATGGGCACATGTCCCTTGTAACGAGAAGAGAGACCCAACGAATGCGCGATGGCTCTGCAGTGTGCTCAAATGGCTTATTCTGGGTGTTTCCTCCTCATGATTGCACTCCCGCATACCTCTAAACAGCGTCAAGAAGCCGAGCAATTCTTGAAGAAACTGTACGGTCAGCCGGGTTGCGCCATGCTCTTCTTTCAGATCATCGAAATGCACGCCACAGGCCCAGCGGAGCCTGACATTTCCATTCGACAGGCGGCTGCCGTTTCTTTTAAAAACTTGGTTCGGACCGGGTGGGAGTCCAAAAAGGAGGAGGGCGAGGCGGTCGACGCGCTGTCCATGGCGCACGCAGACAAGGACATGGTCAAGCAACACATACTCAACCTCATGTGCCTGGTCCCCAACGACGTGCAGAAACAACTCTCGGAGGCCTTGACCATCATCAGCAGCCACGACTTCCCTGACCAATGGCCCGGTCTGCTCCCGGAAATGGTGGCCAAGTTCTCCTCCCAGGACTTCCACGTCATCAACGGCGTCTTGCGATCCGCCAACGCGATTTTCAAACGGTTTCGGTACGCCTTCAAAAGCGACGCCCTTTTTGCCCAGCTCTTGTTTTGTTTGCAAAACTTTGCCGCACCCTTGACGGAGCTTTTCACGTGGGCGGAGGCGCGTTTGGAGGAGGCGGCCAAGACCAACGACAAGCCGCGCTTGCTGGCGACGATGGAAACCCTGCGATTATGCTGCAGGATCTTCTTTTCGCTGAATTGGCAGGACCTGCCGGAGTTTTTCGAGGACAACATGGCACCCTGGATGAGCATCTTTGCCAAGCTCTTGCGCTTTCGCCACCCGCTGTTGGTGGATGAGAGCGAGGACGACAAACCCGGGCCGTTGGAAGCGGTGCGGGCCGCGGTGGTGGAGAACGTCAATCTGTACGCGACCAAGTACGAAGAAGAGTTCCAACCGCACCTGAATATCTTCGCCACGGCCGTGTGGGAGCTTCTGGAGACCTCGGGGACCACGGGGGCCCTCCCCAAGTACGACGCCTTGGTGACGGTCTCCATGCGCTTCCTCGCCTCTTTGGCCGGTAAACAGATGCACTACGCCCTCTTCAACAATCCGACCCTGCTCCGGCAAATTCTCGAGGCGATCGTGGTTCCGAACGTGACGATGCGGGAGGACGAGGAGTACATGTTCGAGGACAACCCGACCGAGTACATCCAGCGGGACATGGAAGGTTCCGACCAGGATACCCGGAGGCGTTGCTCTTCCGACTTGGTTCGGGCCCTGTGCCAGCAGTTCGACGCAGACGTGACCCGCATCGGGCTCGAGTACATCGGAAATATGCTCAACCTCTACCAAAGGTGCGGGCAGGCTTACCGTCAAGCTGGGATGTGGCAGAGAGTCGGACCAGTTTGGGGCCAATTAGGGGAAGGGTGAGGGTACCTCGCCTGCGGACAAAATTCATTCGGACCGTAGAGTAAGCGCCGTCTTTTCATGGGCTACCCGCGTACTTGTCAAATTCACTACTCTTTCCCTTCCTCCCCCCCACTTCCCTTCCTCCAGCAACCCCTCGAATTGGAAGAGCAAGGACGCGGCCATCCAGCTCATGCTCGCCATCACGGTCCGGGGAGAATCGGCGGCCAAGGGTGCCTCGATCATCAACGACAAGGTGGACGTGATGGCCTTCTACACCGCTCACATCCTCCCCGAGCTGGAGGACCCGGCCTTGGACGCCCGGCCCATCTTGAAAGCGGACGGTCTGAAATTTGTCACCGTCTTCCGGCAGCAATTTTCCGTGCAAGCCCTCCTGGCGGTCATGCCCCTCTTGATCAAGCTCCTGGGCTCCGCACACGCCGTGGTCCAGACCTATGCCGCGCATTGCCTGGAGCGGATCTTGAACGTGAAGGATCGGAACGAGCGGGGGGGACCGACGTGGGTCCGTCGGCTGGGGAAGGAAGCGTTGCGTCCCTCTTTGAACGGCCTCTTCACGGGCTTGTTCGCGGTGGTGGACCGAGGGGGTGCAGACGGGCAGGAGAACGAGTATGTGATGAAGGCGATCATGCGCTTGCTCACCGTTGTCCAAGACGAGATCCTCCCCGTCACCGGCATCGTGCTCGAACGACTCACGGCCTCCCTGGTCCGGGTCTGCCGGAACCCTTCCAACCCCCTCTTCAACCATTTCCTTTTCGAATCCTTGGCCGCCACGGTCAAATTTATCTGCCAGGCCAACCCGCACGCCACGGCGGACTTTGAGGAGCGCCTGATGCCCCCTTTTGAAGGCGTGTTGAGTTTAGACGTGGCCGAGTTCACGCCCTACGTCTTCCAGATCCTGGCCCAACTTCTGCTCTACCGACCCGACGGCCTCTCCCCGGCCTTTGTCGGGCTTTTCCCCCCCTTGCTCACTGCCTCGCTCTGGGAACGGAAAGCCAACATCCCCGGCCTCGTCCTCCTCTTGCAAGCCTACTTGAAGAAGGGACCGGAGACGTTGTCTCCGCACATTGAACCTCTCTTGGGCATTTTTTCCAACCTGCTCTCCTATCGTGTCTCCGAAAAATACGCCTTCGACCTTCTCCTTGCAGTCTTCACCAACATTTCTTCCTCGATCCTTTCCAAATACGAACGCCGGATTTTTGAGCTCATATTCACCCGTTTGCAGACCTCCAAGTCGCCTCGGACCGTCCGTTCCAGCCTCCTCTTCTTCGGATTCTACACTGGAAAATTCTCGCCCGAGGCCTGGGTGCACCTCCTCGAGTCCTTGCAGTCCGGCATGACCCGAATGGTTTTGACCCAGGTCTGGATCCCCAACGTGCAAATGGCGGCCATCGCGGGAGGAATGGAGGCCAAAGCCTGCGTGGTGGGCCTGACCAGGGTTCTGTGCGAGTACCGGGAATTGCTAGCCTCCGCGGAGGGGCTGGAGATATGGGGAGGGCTCTTGAAGGGGGTGGTGTGCATGGCCACGCCAGAGGCGGACAAGGATGCGAACAGCGTGGTGGGGAAACGGGGGGGGGGGGATGAGGGCATTGACGAGGAGGACGCGTGGGAGAAGCAGCAGGCTGTTCAAGAGGTGAGTGGCGAAGCGGTGTTTAGTAAGCTTCATTTCGCCTCAGCAGGGGATGAGGATTACTTTCCCGAGGTGGGCAATCCATTATCTTTCGTTGCGCAGCGACTGAATACCCTTTTGGCAAGCAACCCTGGCGTGAACCTATGGCAAATTGTAGAAAAAAGCCTGAGTCAACAGCAGGTGCAGACTCTACAGGCGGCTGGCGTTCGCTTTTGATGACAGTCAGGCTAAAAGACTAGAAGGCAACACATGAAGGTGACGTGAACAGAGCGGAAAGAGGTCGAGTAACGCCAAGCAAGATGTATGCGCCCTTACTTCAATGGAAAAGATGATGTCGAGCCTTCCTGTCAAAGGCCAAATTATCAAAGAACGTAGCAATAGAATAAAAAAATACACCCTAGCTTTCTTATGTTATTGGATTTGTTATTTTATGCTCACCCTACATTAGTTCACAGTATGTCTGATACCAATTTTCACGTAACAACGCCCACCCGACACCTTCAAGTCGTCGATGCAAAATCTACGGCCGCTGGAGATTGATGGGTCCGTTCGCGGCAAATCAATGTCCTTTGGCGCCATTCAATTATCAAGGTCGGATTCAAACAGATTTCTGGAGACACTTAAGATGGCGGGTTCATCTCTTCTGGATGTACCATTGCTCTCTCAAACCCGGTTTATCCTCTGAATGCCCTGAAAGGATGGACCCTTTCGTTGACACACGGCATACTTGGCAAACTTTTTAAATACCAATTAACCTCAGGGTGAAGCAATGATGTCTGGAGAATTCGACTCGCGATTGGTAGGAATGCGCCTTTTGGGTGTGCAATCGCCATTGTCCATATGATCATGTTGAGAGAGGCTCCTACGTACGTTCCTGAACCTCCCCTCTTCCCATGTACATAATATTGCTGCAAACAGGATCCTAGTGTAAAATTGATACGAGGAGTGGGCGCTTCAAATGTAATTTCTTAATAAAAAGGCAAAAGTAGAGCTCAGAAAGCGTTTGAAATACCATTTTGGCCCACCCAGCTCCTCCACTTCGTAAGCTTACGCTCCTACTCCGCCACGACGTCCTCTTCCCTCCCCATCATGTTGAACATCAACATCGTTGAACTCCACGAAAAGAAGTAGACCTCGTATCAAATATGTAGACTTGCTACAACAAAAGCGCTTTGTTTCAATTTGCATTTTTCCGTTTCATTCGCAGTTTTTGATGGCATCTACAATACTTCATCGGACAACTTCAGCTCAAACGAGTACAAGCGTCACGACTGTGCAGGTAAAAGTATTCACAGGAACAGAGCTAGATCTTTATGTAATTTGTATCCGCCAATTATAGATTACACATCGAACTCCAAATTTTTCATAACAGAGTCTGGCATTGACTAAAAATTTGATGCGTGTGGGACTTAGTCAAATAGCATACGCTCGCTCCCTTTTTCCCGAACACTGCTTCATCGAGAAAAGCTACATCGATATGAAGGTAAGCATATGTTAAAGATTTGTTTGTTTGTTTGTTTGTTTATCTTTTTTAATTTTTTTTTTTCAAGGTTACCACTTCTGAGTTGCGACTTGTGATTGTGACCACCTGTTGTGGACCTTTGCTTTCCGTTCCCCTTCCCTCTCCTCAAATATTTTAATAATAGATCAAGCACTTACAACCCAAATCTGAGAATGGCAATGTCCGGCACGAAGAAGCACATCTTCTCACCAACTGGTTGGAGCAAGGAGTCTTCGATGCTCTATCCAAGCGTTACCTTCGTGCTGTTGTCTTTGCCATCTCCATCCCTACTCCACCTACTTCACTGTCCTGCTCGGCCGCCACTGACGAGAGAGGGGCTGAGAATGCCCATGAGAAAGTGATTGAAACTTATCAATGGAAAGTTGGATATACCGATGATGGGGAAGTGACCCTAAACGCTTCTCGCATAGCCCGGACAAAGGCGGATTTAAAAGCGCAAGCCATCTCCCTCATTCGTGCTCTGCTCATGTTCACACACACCCTCGAGTCTCTTCCCTGCCACCGAACTCTGTCCTTGAAGCTCCTCTACTACGATGAACGGACTCCACCCGCCTACGAACCCCCGTTTTTCCAACGTGCGGCCCGAGGAGATTGTTTGGCTGTGGAAGATAAGGGAGCCTTGAAGGTGAAAATTGGGAACGTGGTCTCACCTCAATACGCTTTGGAGTTGAAGTTTGTGGGCGTGGATCTGTCTGCCGTCAATAGGGCGGAAGAGGCAGTAGAAGCAGAGGACGGGACGGAAAGCGCGGGAATACTGTTGATGAGACGGGAAGGGGAAGAAAATGAAATAGAAGATGAAGATACCAATAAAGACGAGGAGGAGGATGATGAGAAAACTGCCTTGAGCACTCCCATCTCTGGGATCTCAGGCGCAAGAAAAAGAAGGAACGATGTCAGGGGTAGGGAACGCGAGGAGGTATCCGAGGGGGATAGCTCGAGGGATCCCAGTGACGAGGAGACGGTGGCGGACCAGGAAGATGAGGAGAATAAGAAGCCGGTGGGAAAACAGATGGACATGGAGAAGGAGGCCAATAAGCGGACTCTGGGAGGGATCAGGACTAAAATGGATGGACCGAGGCGGCGGGAGAAGGGGCGAGGGGTGACAGGGGCGATGAACTCACTTTCTCTTCAGGACAAGGTCGAACGGACAACCAGGAGTACAAGGAGGACTGGACTTTTGGAAAGCAACGCTCAAGCGAAGACGGAACCTGACGGGGAATGTGCTGGAACTATCGTCGACTCCCCCACAACCACGTCCCTTTTCCCCCAAAAACATCAAAAAATAATTGTGGGCAGCGTCGGTTACGCGGAATTAGAAGCAGTACGGGAGCATGTTCTTTCTACCTATCACCGGCACGGGAGCTGGATCTCCGTCAACAAAGCAGCGACCGCCTTAAGCCTGTCCCGCGAGCAGATCGAGGCTGCCTTCGCGTGCTTGGCTGAAGAGGGCACGCGGGAAAACGGAAAAGGGGGAAGGAAGCAGACGGCCATGGTAGAGGGCAGGGTTTGGGGTACGGGGACAAGGTTCCTGTTCAGAGAGGTTGCCAAGGGGGGACACAACAAGCTCGTTGCTGGAGGAGAGGGAGTGCGACAAGAGGGACATGATGTAGCTCAAAAGGAAGAAGACGCCATTAAATGTCATCGCACACCAATGTCTATGGACAAAAGCGGTCCGGAAGAGGCAAGTGACAGCGACGAGACCTGCGCGGGCGATTGTGGTCCCGAGGAGGACAACGCAGAGCTTCCTTACTCCCACCCACCGGCTCCCCGTGACGGCCTTCGAACAACAGATCAGCAGCACGCTCCTCCCAAGGCCCCACGGCCCTTCCGTCCGTCCGCGTCTGCCTTCCCGCCCTCTACCTCCCCCTCCCGTCCGTCCTCCACCTCCTTTTTCCCTCCCCCGGAACGCCGAGGGCGGGCGAGACTCGCGTCGGAATACTTGCTGGAACAAGGCAATGGCTTCGAGATTTCTCTAACGCAGGAGTCTGTATCCACGCTTGCAAATTGCAAGGCGAGTGTAGTAAGTCGGCCCATTGTACAGCGTGCAAAACGGTCTCGACGTTGAAGGTGGTCGACAGGGGCACGACGTGCGGACGCATGGAAGAGGGGCAAAGAAAGAAAAGAGAGCAAACAAAGACATATATGGAGGAATATGCTGAGGACATCCATTACATGGGGGCATAAAGTAGAATCAAGTGTCCAAAGATATCGGAGACTGAGAAAGAACGGGTACTAGTCTGCTTTCATGTCACCGGTACATAATGATAGGTTGCTGACATAGACAAAGGCACAGGGTGAGGTCACATACAAGAAATGCGTATGCCATGCGAGGACTTGTCGAAGCTTACAAGCGGATCAACTATTTTTTCAGCCAAGAAAGAGAAGGCCCCAAAGTGAAGTTTGGGAACGCTGATGGGCCGGATAGAACAACCCACGGCCGACCCCCAAGGCATGCTCGAAACTGACAGGGCGATACGAAGTAGGTAGGCACAAAGTTGAATTTCAGACTGGCCATGAAACGTGGGCATATTGGGCCATGCGATAGTTTTTGGGGAAAGCATGATATTCCTGTTCTACGTCCTAGCTTGCTTCGCGAGTTGCCTCTCGTTGTTCGTCATCGCGGAATCAGCCTCAAGTGGAAGAAGCGGTCACAATCCAGTTTACTTTGATTGTTCGGACGAACAACCTTGTCACCACACGGATGTATGCTGCTGGCCACAGCATTTAATTTTGCTGTGATCTTGTTCGCATTGTTTACTTTATATCCTCGTCCTCATTTGTCATGCATTCCACCTATTTTCACCATACCTATCAAACTGCCAAGATGCCGCCCCCGCGTCAAAAAGAGAAAAACGGACCGGTTCTGGAGGAGGAAAACAGCAGCACCGCCCGCCCGGGTCTTATTCTCCGTGGTCGTTGGAAGTTGGGCCGTCTTCTTGGAGAGGGTGCATGCGGGCAGGTGTTTGCTGTTGAGGACGTGACGGGGGCCCAAAATGAACAGGAATGGGTAATCAAACTAGCTCCCCTTCCCCCACCCGCTGCCGCAGGGGTGGCCAGGAAGAAGAACAAGAAAGACGAGAGCCTGAAACGAAACGCGGACACCTTGTATATGGAGCAGCTGGTCTATAAAAACTACTTGATGGGGGTCCCGCACGTGCCTGCGTTGCCCGCCCTCCTCTCATACGGTGAAGACAAAGGCTTCCGGTTCCTCGTAATGCAACGCTTAGGTCAAGATCTCAGTCAATTATTCGAATCTCAAGGACGTTACTTCTCTCCTGCGACCCTTGCAGACTACGGGAAACAGATGTTGGATGGCATTCAACAGATGCACGAACGGCAGCTCTTGTTCATCGATGTGAAGCCCGAGAACTTCATGCTCGGCTTGCCCGGCACGCGTGCGTCGAAGCGGGTCTTCCTCGTGGATTTGGGTCTGGTGGAAAAATACACCGGAAGCAACGGAGTCCATAAACCACAGGAGGGGCAAGGTGCCGCGGGTGGGGGAGTAGGCACCCCCCTGTTTTCCAGTCTCGCCTGCCACGAGGGAAGGCCAGCAGGGCGGCGCGATGATTTAGAGGCGCTGGGCTGGGTCTTGCTGTACTTTGCGCGGGGAGGTGTCTTGCCCTGGGCGAGTGCCACGAGCGACTCCGAGTGTTTGAAAATGAAACGGTCGGCACTGGTCAAGGACCTGAGCCGAGGAGTGGTGGGCGGAGACTTGCTGGCCCAGTTTCTGGAAATGGCGCGAAAGACCGCCTATGAGGCGGCTCCGAAATATGCAGCGTTCGCGGGCTTGCTGGATAAATTGGGTGGAGTGAAAGAGGCTGGTGGGAAGGGAGGGGCTGGCAGCAGCTGTGCCGGAGTGGAGGTGCAAGTAGCGGGAAGGAAACGGAAAGGCGAGAGGGTGGTTGAAAGGGGCGAGAGGGGGCCAAAGAAAGGCGGTGGGGGGGAAGGCGAAAGGAAAGAAGGAAAAGTGACGGGTTCAAGTCCAGCTACGGTCAAGATGGGGCCGCGTGCTGAACAAATTGACCGCGCGGGTTTGAAAAGCAGCGACAGCAACAACAGGCGCGAAAAAGGGAGCCGCAAAATGGCCCCCGACCACAGTTTAGAGACGGACGTGGTGCATCTGACGGCGGGAGAGGCGCCGGGCCAAGGTCCACGCGCGAGGAGCACGACGAATGGGCACCACCAGTCGTTGTGGTTGGAGGGCCTGGCCGGACCACATAAGGGCGAACGCTTCGAGTTGGGGACGCTGGAGAAGGCCATGTACCTGGGCCGAGAACGGGGAGGAGTAGCCCTGCTAGAGGACAAGAGAGTGGGGGGGAAACACGTGAAGCTGGAGGCCTCTGGGAGAAATTCCGTCCACTCGGTAAAGGTGACACCGATGACGGGAGCGGGGCTGGACCCGGTCTTGTGCAATAATGTGGCAATGGGCAAAAAGGGACGGGTGTTGTTCGCGGGCGACCTCCTCCAGGTCGGGGAGAGTACGCTGGCGTTGCGGCGGGCGTAGGCACACAGGGGAGAGAGAAGGAAAATACCTGTACCGGGTGGTGGAGGATGGTGTCGATATGAAGGACTTAGTATCGGCTCATTATCATCTCTACGTGCATCTGGAGGCTTTCAAGTCACGAAGATGATGACTCCGAGAACTGCAGTGCAGAAAAGAAAGTCCGCCGTAATGGCACGGCCTCTTGGATGTGTGTGAAGCTGTAGGATACAACATCGTCACTCGTAAGGAACTATAGGTTCATATTTTTTCATTTTGTCCGGGGAAAGAACTAAATCAAAGGACAAACCGATTTAAATTGGGGTATGTCGCGGGGGGTATTCTGCTCACAGCGTTCCACAACCGTGACAATCTCTTCCTCAAAGCATAGATTAAATCTAGCATCCTTTGTCTGATAAGAAGCGTCAACGAGAGACTTAAGCCCATGGCACGCTTCCAATATGAATAAACAGCGGGAAAAGGGTCGGGAGGTTACGTGCTCGCAGTGAATTTGGGCGACAAGTACCCCCTCCAGGGGCCACTCAGGAGGGATGCATATTACCCGTGTCATTTTCAAGCCCCATGACCCATACACGTCCCTCATGTCATCCTGTGCAAATAAAACTGTACCACAGAGAAAGAGAGCGATGTCCAAGCGACCGCGGGCGGGTGGGAATGGCAATTCCCAGCATTATAGAAATGGGGGCGTTGCCACTCGGCAGGATTATCAACGAGAGGGGAAGGGTGGTGGAAGACAGCAAGGGCAAAACAGAACGGGCGCAGGAAAAAGAGCATCGATATCTGCGGCGGCGGAAGAAAAACGGCAGGGCTTGCGCGTGCAAGAAATGGAATTGCTTCGAAAACGGGTGGTAGCAGAAGCTCCTGCACCAGGTACACACACTCCCAACGGCCTGCGCCAAGATACTTTCCCATGATGACCTTTTCTCCAATGTGCGACGCATTTTCAACTGTAAAACTATCTCTCAACCCGCTTCTCTGCTTTTACTGTGCATTCTCTATCTAGGCACCCAGCTTTTCGTGGAGGGTGGTGGGCCGGGAAAGGCCTTTCGCGACCTCCCCCTCTCGAGAATAACCCTACAAGGGTTAGATCGAAACAAGTTTTCTGCCATGACCGACATCCAACTGGCCGCAGTGCCTCATGCCTTGGCAGGACGCGATGTCCTAGGTGCCGCCAAAACTGGTTCGGGGAAAACGCTCGCGTTCGTGGTGCCGCTCCTCGAAAAATTATACCGGGAGGGATGGGCCCTCTCAGACGGCTTGGGAGCCTTGATCATCACACCCACGCGGGAGCTGGCGTTGCAAATATTTGAGGTCTTGCGGACTGTGGGGAAAGGGCACATGTTCTCGGCGGCCCTGTTGACGGGAGGGAAAAAAGAATTCCGGGAGGAACAAGCCCGGGTCCCGCGGATGAACATCATCGTCGCTACCCCCGGCAGGCTCTTGCAGCATTTGGAAGAAACGCCGGGTTTTGACGCCTCCCAACTGCAAGTTCTGGTCCTGGACGAGGCGGACCGGATCTTGGACATGGGCTTCAGCCGGCAGTTGAACGCGATCCTGGCCTACCTGCCTCCCGGGGCGGGGCGTCAGACCTTACTTTTCTCGGCGACGCAGACCAAGTCTGTCAAGGATCTGGCCCGACTTTCGCTGGACAAGAATTCGGAGTACGTGGGCGTGCACGACACGGCCGCCCACGCCACCCCGGACCGGCTGGTGCAGAACTACCTGGTGGCGGCGTTGGCGGACAAGATGGACACACTCTGGGCGTTCATCAAGAGCCACATGAAGCACAAACTCGTCGTGTTTTTCTCCTCCTGCTCCCAGGTCCGCTACGTGCACGCCTGCTTTCGGGCCCTCCAACCGGGCGTGCCCCTCCTCGCCCTGCACGGGAAGATCAAACAGGCGCGACGCACGCACATTTATTTCGAATTTGTCCGGCGGCCCGCCGCGGTGCTCTTTGCCACTGACATTGCGGCCCGGGGCCTGGATTTTCCCGCCTGCGACTGGGTGGTTCAGGTGGATGCCCCAGAGGACACGGCCATGTACATCCATCGGGTGGGCCGGACGGCACGCTACCGAAGCGGAGGCCGCTCCCTCCTCTTCCTTTTGCCCAGCGAAGAAGGAGGCATGCTGCGCCGGTTGGAAGCCGCGCATGTGCCCATCTCACGGGTGACGGTGAACCCGAGCAAGACCACCAGCGTCCGGCAAAAGACAGCGGCGGTGGTCGCCTCCAACCCGGAGTGCAAGCGCTTGGCCCAGAAGGCCTTCGTGTCCTACCTCCGGTCCGTGGCACTCATGCCGCTCAAGGACGTCTTCGATATCTCGGCGCTGGACGTGGAGGCCTTCGCCGATGCCCTGGGTTTGTCCAAGTGCCCATCCACCAAATTCCTCAAGGCGCTGAAGGAGGGCGAGGGGGGGGCGGAGGAAGGGAGGGAGGCGGTGAGGGAGAAGAAGAACCGAAGTCGGGCTTTGGAACGCCTGAAAGAGAAGATCAAGATGGAGCGGGCGGAGAAAGCCAGGGAGCGGAGGCGGGAGGAGGAGGGGGAGGGGGTGGGGTCGGAAGGGGAGCAGGGGGCCGGAAGGAGGAGGGAGGGTGGGAAGGATGGGTCAGAGGAGGAGGGAGAGGAGGCGGAGGAGGTTGGAGGTGAAGATGGATCAGAAAACGATGAGGATGAGGGGGGAGGAGGGCTGCTGCGGGTGAAGCGGAAGCATTCGTGGGACATGGAGGACGCGGAGGAGGCAGAGAGCTTGTTGGAGAAAGCCAAGAGAAAGAAGGCAAAGAAGGAGAAGATGAAAATTGTGGTCGAGAGGACACGCAGTCAAAATAAGAAGATCGTGTTTGCAGAGGAAAGTGATGAGGAGGTAGTGGAGGAGGGAAAAGGGGCAAAAGGAATGAAGCAGCTCGATGGAGAGCCGAAGAGTGAGAGGAGGGACCGACTAACCAGGGAGGCTGAGAGCGAGGGGTTGGTTTCGGATATGATGACCTTAAAGGCTCAAAACGAGGCGTACGTTCAGGCGGTACAACGACGGCTTCTGGTCAGTCGGGAAGAGGATCGGGCAAAAGAGCGCGAACGGGTTCGGGAGAAGCACAAGAAAAGGCGAGTTCGTGAGAAAGGAGAAAGGGAGGAGGAACAAGAAGAGGCTCAATTGGGGAATGGGGTGGCTCTTGGGAGTTTTGAGGAGGAAGAGGAATCAGGGGAGCAGGATGAGGATGAAGGAGAGGTGGATGAGGAAGAGGAGGAGGGCGAGGAGGAGGAGGTGAACAACGACAACGTCGTAAATGAGGGACGCCAGGACAGATTGGTTGAGGGCATGTCTTTGCGAGAACAAGAAGAGGCGGTGCTCCGGAGCTTGCGGGGCGGCTAGACTGCTCAGCGCGTTAAAAAAGTGGAAAACAATACATATCCAATCAAATGATGGTTGTCAAGCGCGGAGCTCGAGACGTGACGTGTACACTGTCTATAGACGGAGACTTTCACTGCACTCTGCTTCCTCTCAGGCTTTATTTCTAACATAGCATCGAGAGTGGAACCCCAGTAGGTTGGCACATGGTGGCGACGCGTGACGTTTTTGAGCGACGCTGTTTTGAAGCCATAAAGGCTCACGATACGGTCCGCCTCGGAAAACCTCCTGCCGGAGGATCCCGGAATCTTGATGCCATCTTTCCTCTTCCTACAGCCTGTGCCATGCGTCACTAAGCATTCACTCACGTGCATCCTCGTGCATGCATGCGCATCTCTTTTCGCGCCTATCACAGGTCGGTCCCGTGCTTCCTTTCGCCCCGGGTGTTCCGAGATGCCGCCTGTTTCTAACGGAAGGCCGAAGGGGGGCCACGAGGCAGAAAACGACGACACACAAACGTCCAAGAACCCATTCACACGCTATTGTACGTGAACGTATAAGCATTGACGGATAATTCTGCCGTAAAGGTTGTCCCGTCTTGTTCGTACGTTAAATTTACGCCCCAACCTCCCTTCCTCACCCCATCCAGACGCCCAACTCCTTCATCAACAAAACATGATGCAGGACAACATTCGCACCGGCACCTACCGAAACGCTTTCCTAACACACAAAGCTGATTTTCAAGACAAGGTTGTCCTTGACGTGGGAACGGGCACAGGGATATTGGCATTTTTCGCCATCCAGGCAGGCGCCCGCAAGGTGTACGCGGTGGAAGCCAGCGGGATGGCCAAGCATGCCGAAACGCTAGTGAAGGCAAACGGATTGGAGGGAAGGATCATGGTGGTGAAGAAAAGGGTGGAAGAGATGGAGCTACCGGAAATGGTGGACATTATTGTCTCCGAGCCGATTGGGTTCCTGTTGGTGCATGAACGAATGTTGGAGACGTACCTAACAGCACGTGATAAATGGCTCAAACAGGGGGGGCTGATGTTTCCAAATGCCGGGGACATCGTCATGGTCCCTTTCACAGACGAGTTGCTTTACAACGAGCAGTTGGGAAAGACGGCTTTCTGGTCCACCTCGAAAGATTTCTACGGCGTCGACCTGACGAGCCTGCAAAAAGACGCCCAAGCCGAATATTTCGCGCAGCCTGTGGTCGGTTACTTTCATCCCTCGTGCGTGCTTGCGCCCTCTGCGCCAGTGCGGCACCGGGTGGATTTCCTGTGCGTGACACACGCAGATTTGCAAAGCTTCCAGGTGCCTTTTACGTTTCGGGCGGAACGCACTGCCCTCATGCATGGGATGGGTTGCTGGTTCGACATCGAGTTCGCAGGGTCTGGGGCTGGCGGTAATACGCCCGTGGTGCTGTCGACCAGTCCCGCGGCACCTGGGACGCACTGGTACCAATGTCGGTTGCTCTTACCGGAGCCCATCGCGGTAAACAGGGGACAGACAGTCAGTGGCTCGATGCAGTTCACGGCAAACGAGCATTTTTCTTATGATTTGTTGCTCACAGTACGCTTGGACGGGACGAACATTCAATGTTCCACTGCAATTTTTTTGCAGGACCAAAGCTATCATTACTTGAATCATCCTGTGGTGACACCCGTGGGGGATCCACAGGCAGCGGGAATTGGGGCTTTGGGTGGGGAGGGAGGAAACTGGGCACCTGCCATGAACACAACTGCCTGACGTCATTCAGTTTCAAGTTTGTATTGGTCAACGTATTTAAAAGCATGGTCATAAAGAGTCGGTCGTCGAATCTAAAATTGAAAATGATCAAAAATGAGAAAGAAATGGTAGGAGGCGAAATTGAGGGAAGAATACGAGACACCGGGAGGAATCGAGGCCGCTCAGTGGTGTTATTCATTGCTTTCTAAATAACGCATGGTAAATTCAGTAAAGAAATCTAAGTCGGAGGAAACACAATATCTTGGTTGTGGTATGCACCTCTTAAAGCATATCAGGCAGAATTTCCGTCACGTAAAAGTGATCGTCTCTTCCGTACATGTTAGGCATGGCGTTTGATTCTACAGTCTCGATGATATAAGTACCATCAATGTAGTCAGTCTATATAGTCTTCCGCCCTGAGAATTACTTGAATCACTTTCCCATCCCAAGTAGAGGTTCATGCATATTTTCCCGCGAATGGGCATTGGAGCAAAAGGAAGAAAGGTGACAGGTAATTAAACACCTTTGAACTCTACTGATATGCCGTTGTAATCTCACACATTCATTTCTACCAGGACCGACACAATTAGCGAGTAATTTCTAGTTTTAAAGCTTCTTACACAAGGGCTTAAAAAGATTTTCGTGAAATATGGACATCATTCCCGCCGTCTCCGACACGAAAGTCACGACCAGCCCCTCAGTACTACCAAGCGTCCCTATCCTCTCCCAGGCCTATTTTGGATCCGACAAACATAAATGTGCCCACTAGTCTAACACTTTTAAAGCTTTACAACATATGATAACCTCAGTCCTCGAACTACTTTTGCTGATACCTAGGTATTGACCCACTAGTAAAAATGGTGGTCCAGAGGGAAGAAGCGGCTGACGGAGAAGATTCAAAAAGAAAAAGACCTGAAGGACGTACGTCACAATGCGGAGCACTAGGAAATGAGCACAGAATGGCACCATGCCTACTACCTTTATGATACTCCGCGCTTATTGAAAGATTATTCTTATCTACGGTCATCTTTGACTTGACGCTTTTGGAAAAAATTCTATCACTGGAAATGTAGACAAAGCAAACGAGCTTTAATCAAAGTGAGGGCTCAACGGTCGGTAGTAACGGCTCGCTCGAAGCTAAATGCCATTTTGGCCAAAAGCCGTGGTTATGAGAAGTTAAGTACATGCATATAAGCTACGTCTGATGGCATTGTAACATTTATTTTTGTAAACTATGCCGTCACTGTTTGACCCTTTAATCATCCTCACATCCATATAGGTGACAATGGCATCAATTGCTTCGACTACTGACTTTTCATCACTTTCTGGTACAAAAGATAAGGACTTGGCCTTAGAGGGCATGCTTGGATTCAATGGTCGTGTCTCTGATGGCCTTCAATATACACCGGATGGCAATTATATTGCCTATCCCTTGGGCTCAATGGTCATCGTCCAAAATTTAGCAACTGAGCATCAATGTTTCTTGCAAGGGCATACAGGAATTTCAGTCAGTGCTTTAGCAATATCGAGGGATGGCTCGCGCTTAGCGACAGGTCACGAGGGAATAACACCGAGCAGCAAAACAGACATATGTATCTGGGACCTGGACACAGCAAAAAGCCTGGCAGATAATACTTCAGCTACATCCAATTCTGTAACAAAAAATCATTTTCAGATGGACCGCTTGATAATTTACCGCCTCAACCAGCACATTGGCAAAGTTCAGAGTCTTGACTTTTCTCACGACGGAAACTTTTTGGCAAGTGCAGGCGGCCAAGACGACAACACCGTGATAGTTTGGGACTTACGATCACAGTCATCCAACCACGACGAAGAAACCCATACCTCATTCACCACCGGCGCAAAGCCTTCCTTGCGCAATTCATCACGAATTGTATGTGGTGATAGAATTACTGAGAAAGGAACACTTTGCCTACGGTGGCTGCATGGTCGGAATGATCGTTTCGTAACGGGGGGATACTATTCCTTGCGTGTGTGGCAAGTCGATGCGCCGGCCCTCAAGATGCATTACATGGAAACAGCCACGGGTAGCCTACGTCGAGTTTATACCACCTTATCCATAGCCCCCAACGACGAAATCTGCTATTGCGGTACCCACACCGGAGACTTAGTTCGTGTCCGCATCGATCGTGACCCCATGCCACGCTCCAATAATGAACCCGATAAGATCCGGCCAATTTTGGACGCTGTCTCCACAATAAAATTTCACAAAGGGATTCGAAGCCTAGCGTGCTTCACAAACATCATGACGGGCAACAATAATTTGCTCGTGGGTGCCGGAGACGGAAAAGTTGCCGTGGTGTTACCCACAACCCTCAAATTCGTCGCTGGTAAAGCGACTAGCCTTCTCGGCTCTGTCACATCTTTGGCCATTGCACCGGACAGCATGGGATTCTTAGCGGCGACAGATCAATCAAATCGATACTACCTCAACTTTCAAAAATTTGTGCCGGGACTGCGTGGCACCTGCCACTACGCACCTATAAATGGGTTGGTCTTTCCAGCGCACTGCTCTGATCTAATTATAACATGTTCACTGAATGATGTCCGTGTCTGGAATGTGGCATTGCGCCAGGAATTACTCCGAATACAGGTTCCTAATTTGGAGGCCAAAGCTGTGACGATCACGCCCACGGGCAATACGATTATAAGCGGCTGGAGTGATGGCAAGGTCCGCGGCTTTCTACCAGAAAGTGGGAAGCTTAAATTTGTGATAAGCAACGCCCACACAGAGGGTGCCGTAACGGCATTGGCCGTTTGCCACGACGCAAAAGAGAGCTCCCCCCCTTGGAGACTTTTGACGGGAGGGGAGGATGGGAGGATTCGCCTGTGGCACGTTGCCTCGGCATGGCAGTCCATGGTCTTTTCCGCCAAAGAGCACCGGGCGGCTGTGACATCTTTGTGTGTTACTGAAGATAATGAAAGGTGCGTGAGTGCGTCCGCCGATGGTTCCTGCATAGTCTGGGATCTTCAAGCCCACACTCGACTGCTAGCCGTCATGGAACCTGCGCTATATGAAGCTGCCCTCTTTCATCCCGACGGTTCCCAGCTTTTGACGTGTGGAAGCAATCACCACATCACATACTATGACGCTTACGACGGATCGCTGATTCGCGTGTTAAAAGGCGGGGAAAATGCTGTGCGAGCCTTGGACGTCGTGGTAGGCGGTGAAATGTTTGTCTCGGGCGGGGCAGACAACCTCGTGAAAGTATGGGCGTACGTAGAAGGGGTGGTGCTGAGTGTAGGGCATGGCCACAGCGGACCCATTCAGGACGTCAAAGTCAGTCCCGATGAACGTCGCATCGTGTCCGTCGGGGAAGAGGGAGGAATATTCATCTGGCGCATGCCAGAGGACCGGAAAGAGACGCCGAGTACGAGCTAGAAAAGGAATGCCGACCGACGTAGGCCTTAGCCTTATGAGCAGTATTTGGTGCGAGAATTTACGCGAGGTAAAGAATTATGGGGCCAGGTACCGGAAATTCCAGGAAAACGATACTGAAAATCAACTTCCGCATAGATGCTTTACATGGCGAGTCTATGCTTTGTTTCTTGCCCGGTTGGACATGCTGTACAGGTCATTTTCTTCACACATTTCCTGTCACTTAATTTAACATGAATATCCGGCTGGCAATGTCCCTGACCATCCATCCAACTCCGTGCTCGAGCCCGTCGCCCGTCATCGCACTGCAGCCTACGATCGTCCAATGCCGTCCTTTCGCAAACGCCTCGTCCTCCAATCCCAATGTCAGTGCGATCTCGCCGGGGGGAAGTGCTCCTTGTAAGTCCTGTTTGTTCGCAAATACCAACAAGGAGGCCCCCGCCAGCTTTTCCTGCTGGAGCAACGCATGAAGTTCCTGTCTGCACACTTCTAGCCGTCGCCGGTCTGCGCTATCCACGACCCATATCAAACCGTCCGTCGCTTCAAAGTAGTTCCGCCAGTAGGAACGGATCGTCTGCTGCCCCCCTACGTCCCACACGTTCAAAAGGTATCCTTGATATTCGAGGGTCTTGATGTTGAAGCCGAGGGTGGGCTCAATGGTGCTTATTTCCTCGCCGTTGAATTTCTTCGAGGAAAAAGTAGACCAGGGAAGAGAATATTCTATGAACTTTAATGGTCTTGCCCATCTTACACCCTATTGCCTTCTTCCATAATCCACTCAAAGCTCACCGTATTTAACATGCTCGAAAGACATGAATTTTTCACCTTTTCTACCTCGCCTTTCAACATCCAAAGGATGCCATTCTATCCCATATCGGTATCCAACAATTGTACCATGCACAACGTCACCATGTCTTCATAAGACCACTATTCAAAGTGGCCCGATGACCCCATTTTTCTGACATCATGTATCCATATTGTTTCATTCATCCTGTTGCGCCGTTTGATGTGTATTCACTATTCTTACCTTCAAAATTGTCGTTTTACCGGCATTATCTAGCCCAAGAATCAGGAGACGCATCTCTTTCTCTTTTCGCTTGACTTTCTGCACACGTTATAACGCGATTCAGGCATCCAAAAGCGGGAATGGCGAGAACGGAAAGAAGATTGAAAGAGCCAGAAAGTACGTAATATGAGAAGCCGCGTTTCCCACACAAATAATTCCATTTATATAACGACTGTCGCTGCAATATCCATCAAGCCTCCACGTACCTTGAGTATAGAAAGCAAACCCATGGCTAATTGCAAAGACTGAACAGATAGGGTGGAATAGGCAGGTGGATCAGGCTCGAGAGTAAAAATGTTACTATGATTCAAATGCATGTGCTTCGCAAGTCTACGTGTCGTCACCATCTTTATACAAGCTTCGTGTCATCGTGAATGGGATGATCGGACGTTCAATGAGGCAATAGTTTGAAAACTAAAATCAGAGTTTTCAGCGGGGGGCTGATGCAGAGCAGCCATGTATGATCACCGTGGAACAAACAACAAGCTATTTGAAACTATACATTGCACGATGATGCTCAAGAACTTGCACCGTCTTCCTAACGTATTTTTTTGGGTTCGAGACATGGCGTCGCCTTTTCGTTTTACGAAATGCTCATCATCGAGGCGTGGTAGGCGAACAAAGTCATGTCGATGACGCAATTGATGTTCGTTGGGGTTGGAACCACACCATTCTTGAAAAATGCGCTAGTTCACTCATTGGAGAAGCACACGTGTGCGCATGCTGCAAACGCATGCATAAGAAACTTGTACATATGGACACTTCAGTTACGATGGCCCGCCCGTTCACAAAATTTATTGGACTGTGGAGATCTCAGGCGCGTGTCGAGTTCAGCCGTTAGCTACTTCTCTTCCCATTTACTTGAACAAAATGTTGCGCCACACACTGATCAGAGAGCCTCAGTGAGAAATTCTAGGGGGAGATTTAAATGGATTTCGACCGCAGCGTCTCCAAGCTCAAAAAAGAGCAGGAAAAACGACGAGCAGAGGCCTTGCGGAAGGCTGAGCGGTGAGTACCGATACGAGGGTTGGTCTTTAGTCCTTTTTTTGCAACACTCACGGGAAAAAGAAGCATAAACTTTGTATGAGGTAGATGATATGCACTTAAAGCATTCTTTTGCGATTGATAAGCCTTTACGCATTTTGGAGAGCTCATCCTTTGGACCTGTCGATACAGGGAGCGCAAGGCTCAAGAGGAGGCCAAGCGTCAGCATCAGCTCATCCAGGATGCCGTCGAAAAACGGCGACAGGCACAGCTGGACAGAATAGAACAAGATCGGCTGGCTGCAGAAGAAGAAAAGAGACTGACGGCAGGGATAACGTACTCGTGTGATTTGTGGCCGTATAAGGTTTCAGGGGAGGGGGATAAGATCATCCTACCACCAAGCGCGCTGGAAACATTGACTCAACAGGATGCCCTGGCGCTGGGACCCATGCTGTTCCAATTAAGTCTTCTACCTGCCGAAGGCAACAAAAGCAAACAACTACCTGCGGGGGCGCGCGTGACGCACGCAGGCGTCTTGGAATTCTCGGCCGAAGACGGTCGCATCGGCTTGCCTTTAAAAGTCCGAAAGAGCCTCGAGGCGGAGCCGGAGGAGACAAGAGAGGCCGGAAGTCGGGGCATGGAAAAAAGAATGGAAGGTCCTGGCGGCGAAGAGGGGGATTCGAGAGCGTCCTCGGCGTGGGGCTCGGGATGGAAGGTCCGAGTAAAATATGTCCGCCTCGAGAAAGGCACCTACGCCAAGGTCCAGCCCCGGACAGGCAACCTCTGGCACGTCCCAGAGCTCAAAGGCATGCTAGAGATGAATTTACAGAACCACGCGACGCTGTCAGAGGGAGACGTGCTTCAAGTGTGGTACCGAGGGAGGTGTTTCGATCTGCGGGTGATAGGATTGGAGCCCACTCAAGCGGTGACGGTGATTGACACGGATTTGACTGTGGACGTGGAGGTGCCAGAGGAGCAGACGGAGAGGGAAAGGGTGGAGAAGAGGTTGTCAACGGATGCGGGTGGCGTTAAGGGGCAAGTTGTAGGCGGCGGAGGACCTCCACCGCGCGTGTCCCAATCGTGCGAGAGCCGTGGGCAGGAAGCGGGCATGGAGGAGCCGTCGGTGAACAGTGGGGCAAAAGAGGAAGAGAGACGAAAGAGCATGATAGCCGCACAATTATCAAAGTTGGCACCCGAACCGGATGAAGGGAACGGCGATTGGATCGCTCTGGTGGTGCGGAAGCCGGATGGGTCGATGATTTCCCGCAGATTTTTGAGATCTCAACCGTTTCAGGATGTTTTTCGGTTCGTTGAAGCCACATCAGTCAGTAGTGATCATGACCGCTTACATATGACGTATCGTCTGGTCACACGTTTTCCACGGCGGGTTTTCACAGTGGGGGAGACTGCGGCGCAGAGTGTCGGAGAAGTTTTGGGCTCAGAGGCGGGGAAAAGGGAAACCCTTATGTATGAAGCGTGTGCTTGAGTGGCGAAAAGCCGACCATGCACCATCAAAAAGTATGAACATACCTACATTTTAATAGTATTAGACGGGCGAAAATCTCTAAGTTGCGCTCCATCAGGCTGGATAGCACCTTTCTCCTGAACCTCTCACCTGGTCTAAGACGCCATCACTACCTTTTTCCATCTCCCGAAGATCCTTCGTGGCAGAGCACCACTTCCTTTCAAATAAGTCACTGTGTTGGTAATCAGGCCGTTATATATGCCCTCGAAGCGAGTTAGAGCTCAGGTGGCAGTCCCCCTTTCTGTTGAGAGAACGTGTTGGCAAGCCGCTCGCCCACCATACCCGGCAAAACCAAGGCGAAGGGCCCTCCGATCATAGTCAAAAATCATGACCACCACGTCCTCATCTTACGGTGCGACCGTGGCGTGGGATGTAAGGCGATTACAATCCAATGCTACCTGTGCTCGAGATAAGATTTTGAAGGCAGGGTTGTAAAAACTTGGAGGATGTCTCTGTTCCCGTCGGCGAGGGTCTCCGAGGCCCATCGCGCCTCGCCTACGCGTCGCAAAAAACATACATCTATGCTTCCCTTTTTCGAGGTTTCCAAGCGAAATTTCGATAAGTATGGAAGCATTTCGATAGGAAGTTTAAATAGATTCTTGTCGTGGATGGGTGCACATCAGGATCAGGGTTTTGGCAACCTGGTCGCTTCCACAGGTTACATCACCGAGTTCCCGCCTCGTCTGGCGGAATGAAAAGCTGAGGGTGAAGCACCTCCAGACGCACAAAATTGTCATCGCCGGGGCTTATACACGGAAAGTGGATGCTGCTGTATGATTAGTGTATCTGTCTTTGCATTTTGAGACGTAACCCTTCCCTCTCTCTGACGTCCTCCCCTCGAAACGCTCTACTAGGGCTTTCCCATGGACGACAGCCTGGCCACCAAATTGGAGGATGCCTTGGACCACTCGGCCGTCGTGGAAGCTCCAAGCTCCCCATCCAGTGGTGCTGTTGCAAAATTCTTGTCCATGGCTTCGCTAGACCGTGTTCTGGACCAGTACCAGCAACAACAGAGCCCCAAAACCTGTCTAGCCGAGCTCTCGTTCCTAAAATCTACGTTGCAGCATGAGGCCTGGTTTCTGCCGGATGACTGGCAAGAGAGCGTGCTTGGACAGATCGAGGGGGGCCTGCGGTGCGATAACTCGCAAGTGCGTTTGCAAGCATTGGAATGCCTGGTCGCCCTGACCCCTCAACTCACGTATTACGAACTCACGCCGTACGCCACGGAACTGTCCACCGCAGTTGCTGAAGTGCTGGGCGATTCCCGCCCCTCAGTGCGCAGTCGAGCCCGAGAAGTGCTGGCATTGTTCATGGAGAAAGTGGGCGAGGGATCGTCATCTGTCCTTAAAGGTCTTCGACCCACGGTGGGACATCGCAACCCCCGGTTGCGTCAAGAAATGGCCAGCTTTTTGGTCGAATTCGTGCTCCCCCTGCTTTCCGAATTCAGTAAAGAGGAACGCCAGCTGCTACTCGAGATCCTGGTTGCTTTGGTGGCCGATACCAACGCTCAAGTGCGCTCTCACGCCCGGCAGGGGCTGGAGCAGGTGGTAACGGGGACAAGAGAGCAAGGGAGGGAGGGCGGGGAGCCCGAGGTCTTGGCGGAGTTGAAGAAGGTGGGTTTGAAAGGGCCTCACCTCAAGCAGCTGCAGCAAATGTTAACAGAGGTGGGGGAAGGAAAGAGGAGGGCGCTGCAGACAGCAGCAGCAGCAGCAGCGACGACGAGTTCCTGCCCAGCGATATGCCGTCGGTGGAACTCCTCCCGCCGTCGGCTTCGTCCATGGTCCCCGTCGACCTGTCACAAGCACCGGTCTCCCGATCTGTCGGAGCCATCCCCCCCCCCCCCCCCGGGGTCCCGGCCTCGTGGGGGAGAAGGAGTGCAAGGTCTCGGAGCACGTTGACGCGCCCAGCGAGGTCGTTCCCGTCGCCGTCCGCTCCGACAAGGAGCTGGCTCAGGAAATGCA